CGAGGCCAGCCCAGCGGCCGGTCCGACTGGACCGCCACCCGGTCCAGACCGGTTCAGACCGGCTGGACCGGTTCAGCAGCATTTTAGCCGATTCAGCCTATCTTAAGCCCGATTTAAGTATTTTAAGTTATTTCAGTAAATTTTCCGGGAATATTTCAGTTCAGAAAAATCATGTCCAAATCAGTTCAGATAATTTCAGTTCCGGTTGATCCGGATAAGTCTAAAAATCAGAATAAGTTAAATAGAGCATCTTAACGAGATTAATTAGTTAATTTAAGCAGTCTGAGCATAGTCAATAGTAATTGTTTATATTATTTTCAGTTTAGCAGGCATCAGCACTACTTGTCAGTCAGACAGTTCAGGTGGGGACTCAGACTAAGTACTACATTGTTTATAATTGCTCTACCATGTACGAGGTATGTATTTTTCAGTATCCGCTCGGAATGGCCGCCGGTCCATTCTGGGTTCTAGTGGCCCTAGTCTGCCCACTAGAGTGTGCACATGGTGTCCGGTTCGCCGGCAGATGTTCAGTTCAGATGTGACTTCGGTCACTACGTGGCTTCGGTCACGAGATCAGTTATCAGTTACGTGACTTCGGTCGCGAGTACGTGACTTCGGTCGCGAGTTCAGACCGGTATCAGTTCAGTTCAGTTATATATGCTCAGTTCATGATATTGTTATTATTTACGATGTTTTACATTAGTATGAGTTTCCACGGAGCACAGTGCCTAGTGCTCACGCCCCAGTTATATCTTACTTTTCAGGTCAGCAGGTCGGGCCGGCGGTGTGACATGACGGAGCAGCTCGGGACATTCAGGACATTTGCTTATATGTTTTTGGACTGTATAACTATTACTCATGTTTCCGCTTACTTTTGAACTATCTTTTGACGATGGTTTGATGATTTTGACAGTTTTATCGTACTTTGACGAACTTTTCAGAAAAATTAAGTTTTAAATAACCGGACGTTTTAATAAGTTAAAACAACGGTTTTTCTAAAGATAAGTAAAGATTTTCACGGTAGCACCCCAAATCAGTTTCGCAAAGTAAAAAATGTTTTAGTTTTCACAGACTTTGCGATCAAATGCGCAACTCTGATTTACTAGTAAGGTGGGGTGTTACAGAAACTATAGAC